GTGAGAAGGAAGGATCTAAAACCCTAACTTCAAGTTCATCCCCAAATTTGATCGCGAGTGGGGAATGAGGAAGAGGAGAATTTCAACGGCATTATATATCCACGTCATTACTAAGCTGCCAACTCATCATCCACGTTAACCCTTTAAATGCCACGTGAGCCACGAGATTTTGAGTTTTGGCCGCCAGCGAACAGAATGTGCATTGTTGACAAAAAGGTCCATCTTTAATGTCTTGTTGTCGCCGGAGTTTTTTTAAATATCAAACTGGAAAATACGTTCGTATAAATATACCAATTTGGTATTTTATCAGATACTAAGATATAAGAATATAAATATATATAATGTAGTTATAAGTCTACTTATAAGTGTATATTATAAAATTATAGTTATATAAGTAGATATAAGTACATAAGTATAATCTATACTACATATAAAAGATGATTGCTTTGTCAAAACTTTTAATTTCTATTTTTGCCCTTTTAACATAATTCTCAAATATGTCATCAGTTGTAATTAATCATTCACTAATTATATATAACATCTTATTAATTACGCATTTCCTCACTTTTCAAAACCCTTGGTGAAATTAATATTTTATTATTTAATTTTTTTATTTAATAGAAAATTTGAAACTTATCCCTAATTTATCTTCACATAATATTTAAAATTCTAAAAAATTTAAAAATAATAAAAATTCATTACGTTACGACTTATGCCTTTTATTTTTTACTTCTTATGGAGGAGTACCTATTACCTTTCAACTTGTTAGCCTTTTAAAAGTATGATAAAAGTATGAAAAATAATTTATATTTTTAGTAATTGTAATAGTATTAATAGTATAATATTTGTATTTTTTAAATTAATACATTACACTGTAATTTAATTATTATACAATTTAGTAAATTATTTTCTAACATTGTAATAATCTAATTATGAAATTAAAATGAACTAATGTATTATAATTATGCTATGTATAATATTATTATATTTATAAGAGAATAAATTATTTAATAATATTATAATTATTTTAATAAATTATGAATAAATTATAGCAATTATCCAAACTATAATAATTAATCATACAGTTCTTTATTCACAGTTTTATCATACAATTTATTCATTTAAACAAAATTGTAATTGTTCAAAATTTATATTGCTATACAAGTCATTTCATTATCTTGGAACTAACAAAAAGAATTTGAAAAACATAAAACAAAACATGTATGCTTTCGTGCAAAGTACGTGCATTATAATAGTTATATATTAGTATATTGCATCTAGTAAATATAAAAGTATATCATATAAGTTGTTGATGTTAAGTGATCACACAGTCGGTTGTATCTGTTGTTGGATGAGGTTGTTCGGTATTGATGAGGGACTGCTTTATTCCCCGACTTTTATGTCTTGTTCTCGAGTTGGGTTGCTGAACAGCCTGCACATATAGAACACATGAGAGGATGGGGCTTGGAGCCCCCGTGGTTCCTCCAACGTTCAAGTCATCTAATGAACTTGAGTGGGAAAAAATCAATAACTATTAGAGTTCTTGTATGTGCAATATGTCAGCTTAAAGATCGGATAAGTGTCACGCCCCGGGCTCGTAGGCCCGTTGGCGTGTGCAAGCCGTTGGACCCACCGAGTGTAATGCACTATTTGGCTCAAACCACTACCAAAATAGACTAGCCGACCGAGTGTAATGCACTATTTGGCTCAAACCACTACCAAAATAGACTAGCCGATGTTTCACTTGAGTCTTTAGCTTTCACTATATAAACACCTCAATTTTCCACTCTCCCACCGATGTGGAACTAAATTAGTGGAATCTCACATTTGCTCCACCCTACAAAGGCGATGTCATCGTCGCGGCATGACAATTAGCATATCCCAGTATCGCCGCCAGGCGATGTAGACTCTAGAGGTGGTTCCTACGGGCTCTAGAGGTGGCTCCCACCGCATCCACATGGTGTAGCACTTAGCCCCGCATAGTACTTAGTTCCACACTTCCGACTGGCAACTGTTTTGATACCATTTGTCACGCCCCGGGCTCACAGACTTGTTGGCGCGTGCAAGCCGTGTGACCCACCGAGTGTAACGCACCGTTTGGCTCAAACCACTGCCAAAATTGACTAGCCAATGTTTCACTTGAGTCTTTAGCTTTCATTATATAAACACCTCAATTTTTCACTCTCCCACCGATGTGAGACTAAATTAGTGGGATGTCACAATAAGATCAAAGGATCCAATTTTTTAGAGAAAATTACTCAAAGATCAAAAAGTCCCCGTTTTGTTCGAATAGTACCTGTATTTATACCTAGAGTATAAGGGTAGAATGGTCACTTCAACCGAGCACAGGATGGTGATGGTGAAGTGTGGGCTGGTAGCTAAGTCAGCATTTGCTTTACAAGTGTCGACTGGAGAGTGGGGGAAGGAGCACTTCAGTATTAAACGAGAAGTAATTGGTAGCATGGCGGTGCCCACATGGTCCGATGAGTCATGAAGGCTATCAGGGTCAAAGGCATGATGCCCCCCTATCACACATTAAATGCGATGTTGACACGTCGCCATTGGGAAAGACTCGAGGTGGAAGCTGTCCTTTAACTTTGCCAAAAAGTAACGTCTTTCGAGTCGTCCTCGCGAGGCGTCCGGTAAGTGGTCGAGTGGGCTCGTGGCGAGTCGTCTTCGACAAGAGGGTCGACTGGTACCGCCTTTCGAGTCGACATTAAGGAGTGTCGACTCGATGAGTCAGCTAAGTCGGACTCCTCGCTGGTCTCTGGCCGTCAACTTGATTGGGGCATTGCATGCATAAGTACACATGTCCGTTACTTGGCCATAGGTTGCCTTTTGGTGAATGGGAACACCATAACATAAGTAAACTGTATAACTGTACTTAAATAAGCATAATGTAAGTATGTAACAAATACATATATAACTATATAATACATATTTATAAATAAGTAATATATACTTATGTGATTCTCTCTCTCTCTCAAGTTATAACTTATAAGCAGTGTAGAAAATAGCGCGTTCCGTAGCACAAAATAGCACATAGCGTAATGTAGCACTGCCCTACCGCTACATAGCGTTGGAAAATAGCGCACAGACAATATAACGCAAGCTACTTTAGCCGTAGCGTACGCTATGTAACACGTCGTCATGGCGCTGCGTAGCTTAAGTTAAATTGTTCAATGGCTGGGATTGGTTTTTAAAGAATTTTTATGACTGTGATTGAGTTTGAGTGGGTGGAGCCCACTTTTCGTAAATTAAAGTCACACCTAAAACCCTAATGGCTTGCTCTCGCCGCCTCCAGAA